GTTTTTCTTCCTCTGCACCGTTGTTACCAATATTTAATGGTGAGAAATACGAGTGGTGGAGCATCAAGATGAAGACCTTGCTCAGATCGTAGGAGCTATGGGACTTGGTGGAGCACGGGTTTGCTGATGTATTAGAACCCACAATAGAAGAAAAGGAGAGACTAAGAGAAACCAAGAAAAACGATGCCAAGGCTCTATTCATTATTCAGCAAGCAGTTCATGAGACTATCTTTTCACGAATTGCAGCAGCAACCACATCAAAGCAGGCATGGTCAATTCTACAGAAGGAGTTTCTAGGAGATTCAAAGGTCATGACAGTGAAATTGCAATCTCTAAGACGTGATTTTGAAACTCTACTCATGACGAATGGCGAATCAATTGCTGATTTTTTGTCAAGATCAATGGCAATAGTCAGTCAGATGCGTACCTATGGAGAGAAAATTTCAAACGAAACAATTGTTGCAAAGGTGTTGAGAAGCTTGACTCCAAAGTTTGACCATGTGGTGGCCGCCATAGAAGAAGCTAAGGATCTATCCATACTCTCCGTTGATGAACTGATGGGCTCGCTTCAGGCTCATGAGGCAAGAATCAATAGAGCATCAAAAAGGAACGAAGAAAAGGCACTACAAGTGAAGGAGACAACCAATAATGAAAGAGAAAATATTCATTTAGCAGGTAGAAGTCGTGGACGAGGAGGATTTCGCAACTTCCATGGTGGTCGTGATAACAGGTGGAGAAGTGATGGACATAGACAATTCAATGAACAAAGGAATGTCATACAATGTTACCATTGTAGAAGGTATGGTCACACAAAATCTGATTGTTGGTATAAAAATCAACGAATGAATTTTGCAGCAGAGAATGAAGAAGAAGAAGAAAAGTTGTTTGTGGCATGCATGGATACGAATCCAAAAGAAGGTAACTTATGGTTTGTTGATAGCAGATGCTCGAACCATATGACAGGCACCAAATCCTTATTCAAAGAGCTTGATGAGACGCAAAAGATTAAGGTGCAACTTGGAAATACAAAAGAGATGCAAGTTGAAGGAAAAGGTACAGTGAAAGTCGAAACCAGTCACGGTAAGATAAAACAATTAGATAATGTTCAATTTGTACCTGATTTAGGGTACAATTTATTGAGTGTTGGACAATTAATGACCAGAGGACACTCAGTTCTATTTGATGATAACACATGTGTCATCACAGATAAGAAATCAGGTCATAAAGTTCAAATTGTCATGACTTCAAATAAGATGTTTCCACTTGATATTTCTAACATGGAGGATTTAGCTCTTACTGCTAGCATTAAAGATGATTCAACATTATGGCATCTCAGATATGGACATCTTCATATGAACGGCCTGAAAATACTCAGGGATAAAGGTATGGTTTTCGGATTACCAAAAATTGACTCAACTAATTTATGTGAAGGATGCATTTATGGCAAGCAAACTAGGAAGTCCTTTCCTGTTGGAAAAGCTAAAAGAGCTTCACATTATCTAGAACTAATTCATGCTGATTTATGTGGGCCAATGCAAACGAAGTCCTTGGGTGGAAGTATATACTTTTTACTATTCGTTGATGACTATAGTCGTATGAGCTGGGTTTACTTCCTACAACATAAGTTAGAAACTTTTCAGAAGTTCCAAATTTTTAAAGCTATGGTAGAGAACCAAAGTGGCTGTCACATTAAAGTTCTTCGCACAGACAGAGGTGGCGAGTTCATATCTAAAGATTTCAATCTCTTTTGTGAAGAAGAGGGCATCCAAAGGGAATCAACAGCTCCCTACACTCCAGAACAGAATGGAATCGCTGAACGAAAAAATCAAACTATTGTGGAGATGGCAAGAAGTATGTTACAAGCAAGGAGACTTCCAAACCAATTTTGGGCCGAAGCCGTAGCAACATCTGTTTATCTATTAAACATCTCACCAACAAAGGTGGTTATGAATCGAACTCCTTATGAAGCATGGCATGGAAGGAAACCATCTGTAAGTCATTTACGAATCTTTGGTTGTGTTGCTTATGCTTTGAAGCATCCTCAAACTCGTCAAAAGCTTGATGAAAAATCTGAAAAATGCATTTTCATTGGCTATTGTACTCAATCAAAGGCATATAAACTATACAACCCCGTTAGTGAAAAGATTTTAGTTAGGAGGGATGTAATATTTAATGAAAACGTGAGTTGGGATTGGAGTAAAGAACAGGAGCAGCAAAAGATTACAGTTGAAGTTTCCCCAAATGAAGAGACAAGGGTCAACTCCAGTGCATCTCCCAATGCATCCACTGCAACACAAAGTGTGTCAAATTCATCATCTTCAGAATCACTGAACAACAATTCCTCTCTTGAAGAACTTTCAGATGAGACACCTCCAAGGAAGTATAAATCTTTAGCTGACATATATGCATCATGTCAATTTGCTCTTACTGTTTCAGACCCTATGAATTATGAAGAAGCAACTGAAAAAGAAGACGGGAAGAAAGCCATGACAGTAGAGATGCAGTCTTTTAAGAAAGATGAAACATGGGATATGGATGACCTACCAAACGAAAAGTTTTATGGAGATTTACAAGAAGAGGTTTATGTAAGACCGCCAGAGGGATTCATAAAGGAAGACAAAGAAACAAAGGTATACAAGCTGAGACAGACAATGTACGGGTTAAAGCAGACATACTTACAAAGGCCTTGTCAGAAGAAAAGCTCTGTACTTACATCTGCAACTTTGAATCATGGGGGAGTGTTGAGATATGATTCAACGTATTCAAAATGAAGATATGATTTAGGGTAGTTAGATATGATTCAAATATTCAAACTACCAAGATTTTAGGAGATTGTTAATAGATTTGAGTTTATCTAGATTTCTATGATTTACTATTTCTGGTCCAGTGTATTAGCTATAAATACTGGAATTGTGTAACCCTGTAAGCATTGAGTCAGTAGACAATAATAAAGCACTGCAGCTTTCATCTATTCCTATCCATTTCTATCTCTTTCACTATCTCTGTTTCCAACACATATTTGACTTTTTATTACCTGCAAATGCCTTATATGATTGAACAAAATTTAGCCTCCCATTATAGGTTATCATATTTGATCCTTTATAGATTTTTGGGTTCCATTACCACTTCCCACTTACCACTTATCACTTATCACTTATCACTTACCACAGATATCATAATTCCCTTCTATTATAGACAAATATCTTTTATACATTTATGGCTGGTTTACCTGTCTTTTGTAATTTATTTGATCATTCTAAACAGAGAATTTGCTACCATTTATTTGGGTGGTTTTTTGAAATATTCTAATAATATCTTTGTGTCAACCAAAGCTAGTGGAATTGGAATGTTTTTTTGCTGTTGCGGCTGCGTCGGACAACGACTATTCATCAATAGAAGAAGTCGCAAACTTCATAAGAAAAAGTTTTTTAGGCAAAACGGAGGCCTTGTATTGCAGCAAAAGCTACTAGAAGATAATGAGAGGGTCAAAATATTCTTACAGGAAGAACTTGAAGAAGCAACTCATAATTACAGCCAAACTAGATTTCTTGGTCAAGGAGGGTTTGGTGCAGTTTACAAAGGGATACTCCATGATAACACTATTGTTGCAGTCAAAAGGTCCAAGCGAATTGAAGAAGCCTGGATTGAACAATTCATCAACGAGGTTATCATTCTCTCTCGAATTAACCACAAAAATATTGTTCGCCTTATTGGGTGCTGCCTAGAAACTGAGTTTCCTTTGTTAGTCTATGAATTTGTTTCCAATGGCACGCTTTTGAGCCATCTCCACCACACAGATCATGGAGAATCGCCATCTCTTTCATGGGAAACTCGTCTTGGAATTGCCTCTGAAGTTGCTGGAGCTATCTCTTACATGCATTCTGCCGCTTCAACTCCCATCTTTCATAGAGATATCAAGTCTCTTAACATTCTTTTGGAGGATAATTATAATGCAAAAGTTTCTGATTTTGGGACTTCCAGATTTGTTTCATGTGATCAATCTCATTTGACTACGAAAGTGCATGGAACTCTAGGATACATTGATCCTGAGTACTTTAAATCAAGTCAGTATACTGAGAAGAGTGATGTTTATAGTTTTGGAGTCGTAATGGTAGAGCTTTTAACGGGGAAACATCCTACCATATTTGCAAGAAATGAGGAACGAAATCTATTAGAGGACTTCATTGCATTGGAAAATGGTAAGGAGGTTGTTGGAATCGTGGATAGTGCAATAGCCAAAGATGAAGAAACGATGGAGGGTGTTAACTTGGTGGCAAAACTCACGGCCAAATGTTTAAGAGCAAATGGGAAAGAGAGGCCTACAATGAAACAAGTGTATTTAGAACTAGAGGGATTGAAGAAGACTCAAACTCAACGTTGTTCAACAATTGCTGGAGAAAGCAAATCAATTGGAAGCTATTCATTTTGCTCTATGGCTCCTAGTAGTGACGATCTTCCAAGATGACAACTTCGACATATTAGATCTCTTCGATTTTATGTTTCACTGTGTCGTGGTTTAATGATATTTAGTCTTGAATTATGGTTTATTATATGTGTGATATTTAGGTTTATGTTAGTAAGACAAATATTTATCTTCCCTTCTATCCTATCTAACCTTTTATTATAAGTAAATATATTGTATCTATTATTGCTCTTTCCATATCATTTGTAACTTAGTTGATCTTGTCACAAGATATTTCCCTATAATAAACAGTCAATTATGATACCTATGATAAACCATAATTTAAGGTTAAATATCACTTTAAATTATCTTTATTATTATTATTATTATTTTGTGTATTGAAACGTTATGGAAAGTGATGGATCTTAATTTCCAACTTTGAATGGTTCAAATTATGAAAAAGTCTCTCCAAACTAATTGACTTGACTAGTTGCTCATTAATTGTAATACCCGAAAAAATAGAAATAGAAAAAGAAAAAAAAAAAGGAAAATGTCAAGAGAGGGGCAAATAGGTAAGTTTGTCCCTCCAACCACGGGTCCAAATGAAACTCGTCCACAGTCCTGCAGAAAAAGAAATAGCGAGAGAAACAGGTAGAGAGAACCTAGAGAGAGGAGAAAGAATGAACCGCCGGAAGACTCACCGAAAACTACCATCGGAGCTTACTCCGGTCGAGATCATGATGCAAGGATCCTTTCTTGGAAGGAAAAAGAGAATGTGGGTGGCCGGAGTTCCCATTTTTCATTAAGAAATCGAAAAACCCGCAAGGTAAGATCTTGAACGTTTTCTCATATCTACGGTTTTCCTTTGTGAATCAAGATCTGAAATCTTGATATATTCATCTAGGAACAACTCTACGCACGATCTGTGAAGAAGTTTAGCCGAGATCTCAACTCGAAGGCGAAGATCCGAGAGTCATCTGAGAACGGTGAGCGAACTTCCGACGTTCTGAACTTGTCCAGTAGTCAAGCAAAAAAATTACAAAAAAAATATTAGGACATAGCCCGTAACACGATCTATAACTTTGCCGAAGGAATCATATCGATCCGATCTACGGATCATAAGATATGAAAATCGGAAAAGGGGACTGTGTTTCGGTTTTCAGAGGATAGAGAAGAAAGAAGAAAGAAAAAAAAAAAGAAAGGGCGGTTGGCGAGCGGCGGAGGGCGGCGACAGGCACCGGACATGCGTCGACCATCGGCTGGAGCAATGCAGCTCCAGCGAGGCGTCGACACGTGTCACCTGCAAGCCAGGCCGAACCGAAAACGCGAGCTGAGCCGACCGGACCGGCCGACCTACGACTACGCGGAAGCGGGCGCACGTGCAGCCTGCGACTAGCGCCTTCCCACGCGCGTGGAATGGCCAATTTGGCCCAGTTGTTTTCTGTTTGCCCGATTTTTGTCCTGGTTCCAGTTCTAATACTGTTCTTACGTGAATAGGGATCTAATTTAAAGAAATCAGTATTTTTGGACACCTCACGGGCAAAGAAACGCTAGCAAAAAGGGCACGCGTCAACCAGGTAAGTCATCACCCGGTATTTAGGAAGAAATACTTTTAGGGTTCGCTTGGATTGTATATATGCATGTTAGTAATTTTGCCTTAAATTAGCTCTCCATGAATGAGATTAGTCAGATTGATTGTTATGATGTGTTAGGTGAATTATCTGAATGTTGCTTGTACGCCTCAAGCTTCCGTTGTACATTTGCACGCGTTTAATTTATGTTGGAATTGTGTATTCCGTGTTCCGGGTGCTCGATGAATGAATTCACCCCATTGAGCGCGAACTTCGTGTTCTAGGTGCTGGATGGAGGCCATCGCCCCGTTGAGCCGGTGTGCCTAGTTTGCATGAATATTAGGATGTTAGAAGATGGTTGCATGCACACTCCGTTATTTTCTAGTGCCCATTTCTATGATAAGCCTAGGGGTTACTGTTAGGAGCGATATGTCGCTCTAGCTAAACTTAACTTTCCCCTAGGAACTTAGCTGATTACCATGGCAACAAGGTACCTCAGGAGTTTTCATAGATTGCTAGTCTGAGAACGGTATCTATAGCTTCATGGGAGGACCAAGTGTCCCCGATCAATCCTTACTGCTCTTAGCCATTTCGCATGGGAAATGTATCCCCACATCGTACAACCCATTAGCTGCATGGGAATAGGTTGGGTCGCGCCCCCCATAGGAGGACTATATGGGCGTAGGGGTATTCAGCACACCCTTAGGCTAGATACCATGTAGTCCTAGATAGCCATGTAAAGGTAGCGCCTCATAGAGAGATACCGACCATATTAGCTTGGCGTAAGGAACCTCTAGACGTCTAATGAAAGGACAATGAACCGGTGTAACCCAAAGCGCAAGCTCCAAGGGACTAAAATTAGAACCAGATGTCCTAGAACCGAATTAGGAAACCGTGGAAACCTATTAAATTAAGATGTGAAGAGAGCCTACAACTAGGTGGCTTACTGAGTATAATTTTTATACTCATCCTATTCTCCTTTATTTCTTTCTCAGGTGTTCGCTGGCTGCTGGTCGAGGTAGAGGAGCGTTCGAGAGTTGTACAGTCACAGAGGGGGTTATTCCGGAGCGTCAGTCCCTTTACGGTCTTTTGGAGTCTTTTGTATTTCATTTTATATTTGCAATTTCTTTTGTAATAATTTCGAAACAAAATTTCTCTCTTTTGTTTTAATTCATTAGTATTTTTATCTTGTTACCTTACTTTTCTTTTCTTTTATTTTCTTTTTGTTTTTTTTCGATTTCGTCTTTTTAGTCATGATTCGGTTTTTTAAAGCCTCGAAAATCGGGTCGTGACATTAATATTTTTTTTTTGTAGTTAAATTCTTTTTTTCCGTAAGAATTTAGTTTGTGTACTTCCAAATTAGATACAATTTGGTTATTAAAGTATAGAGAGTAAATTATCATTTACTTGTCCTTCAAAGCCTCAAAATTCTAATGGGTTTTCCTCCTTATGCTACAATCAAATATGAGTATCGGACCCATTGCTAGGGATTTCAGGGTCGAGGAAGATATAAAGTAAAGAAAGGGTCATGACAAAAGAAAGAGGATCTTTGTAAGTACAAGACAATTCAACAAAGTTAAAACATTGACCTATTTATTGTTCCTATTATTTTAGGTCTCTATACTACTAAAACAACTCACTTTCTTCCAACAAAGATAAAACATTGAAGTATTGATTCTGGAAAGTATTACTTGCAGGGATTGTCTGGATATGTATGCATGCTAGTATGACGAAACTCTAGGTTGATAGATTTGATATAACATTAACCTAGGACGATTGGATAAGCATGAGATTAGTCTCACTAGTTGTTGGCATAACTTAATTTTTCTATGTGTGTTGAGATGGACTGTTTTTCTACTACTTGTACATAATTATGTTGAAACGGTGAATGAGAAATTGTGTATCTACTCTCTAGGTGTTTGATGGATGTTATCGCCCCGTTGAGCATGTGTGACTGTATATTAGTTCCAGGTGATTGAATGTGTGACTTCTCCCTAAAGAGAATAAGTAGTAGAAACAATTTAAAACTAGGGTGAAAGCGTCAGTTGGGCTAGATTGTGAACTAGGATGGGACGCCTTCAATAGTCCGAGCGCAATGGAATCGTGAGAGACAATCAAAGGGTGTGACTCTATTGCTCCTTATCGATCCAGACTTGGAAAGTCGAAATTGAGAAACCTAGAAATGTGAATCCATGCCAAGACTGTCAAACCATCCTAGAGATCTAGAAGACCACCACGACAACCTTGGATGTCAAAGGTAGCCTCCTAGGCTTATAGCATCTAGTACAATGTCTATAAAGCTTCCACTTTCCTTTCCACTCCAACCTTGGATGTCAAAGGTAGCCTCCTAGGCTTATAGCATCTAGTACAATGTCTATAAAGCTTCCACTTTCCTTTCCACTCCAGTACGTCACCGTTGAGCTAGGCCCGAGGTTGGTTAAAGACATGTGACTTGATAGTTTATAAGATTACTCTATATAAAAGATCCGTCTTATGGGAGGGTGTTGATCATGCAGGTAGTTAGTGGTTATCCTACACGATGGATTCGTCTTGTGAGAGAGCGTTGATCATGCGAGTAGCCAATCAATAAAAGAAGATTTTTCATATCTGTTGGGCACAGGTGTTACGGTCCCACTAAACAACATTGAATTCTCACTAACAATGCGTCAAAGTTGTAACCTCATTGTGTGTAGCTTATTTTTGGTGGGGTTTTTGTAGAATCTTCAAAGGAAGAAAGGAGAAAGGACCATGCTAAATATAAGAAGCTTTTTGAGTTGGATGGAACTTCAAATATAACTTTTTGGTTATGCTTCTCACTTCTCAGAATGCAACCATGTTAGATTTGAATATAAGAGCGTTCGATACATAAAAAAATAAAACTGAATGCTCTTCAAAGATCAAAGATGTGAAAGGGGTGTGGAGGCTCCTTGACACCGCATCGTCTGCTATCGGCATACATATTACCTTAATTTTTTTCGGAGTTGCCATGGTGATCGTCTATGTCTCTAGGGCTATTTGGCAGTCGTGATGATGGATTACATCTTCAGATAACGTGATTATGATATTCAAGTCTGGTTCGGTCAGGAGCATGGGGTCTCACTCTCTGTTCGTCTCTCACGAATCCATAGTGCTCGTCCTCTAGAAGCTTATTTTTGGTGGGGTCTTCATAGAATCTTCAAAAGGAGAAAGGAGAAATGAATTGTAATATGTCAAATTGATTGGAAGAATGTGAGACGTTGTTTTAGTAGAATAAAGACTTAAGATGATAAAAAAAATAAATACATCGATGTTTTATCTTTGTTGAATTGTCTTGCTCTTACGAAGGTACTCTAGCTTTCATTTGATCGTGGCACTATCTATCCAGCTTTCTTCGGTCATGACCCTTTCTTTTCTTTAAAAAAGTACATGTAGCTCCTCGACCCCAAAATCCCTGGCAATGGGTCCAATGCTCATATTTGATTGTCGCATATACACAACCAAAGAGGAAAACCCATTAGAATTTTGAGGTTTTTGAGGGACAAGTATGTTGAAATATCATCACTAGCCCAATAGAGTCAAGCCCAATAATTGTACCAGCACAATATATTTATTTAAGTAGAGATTTGAGGAGGGAGAGAGGTAGATATGTTAGGAGAGAGATCTAGATATTTTAGGAAAAAGACTTAGATTTGTTAGGTCTAGATTTAGATTTGTTATCTCTAGATTGAGTAGGTGCTAGTATAAATACCCCTCCCCCTACCTTGGTTATTCATCCAAGGAATCCAAAAACAATAAAAAGTAGTATAGAGTGTCTTGTATTCTCTTCTTGATTGGTCTTAATAAAGAGTGTGAGCATTTCCCGCAGAGAGTTCTGTCCAACAATTGGTATCAGAGCAAGGTTAGTGTAGGTTATCTGATCTCTTGAAATTCTTAGTATGCTCTGTGGTTGCAGCTCTATCTGATCTTCCACATCAGAAATGATTTCTTGAGATTAGTAGTGAGTGAGTTTCTTTTGTATCGTGAGTAGTATGTGACTCTGCAAGTCTTGCGTTGAAAGAGCTTGTTTGGTATTATTGAGGTATGGCCAACACGATGGGTGATTTCCAAATCGTTGGAGGAATCAAGAAACTCAACAACAACAACTACAACACATGGGCAACATGCATGATGTCCTATTTACAAGGACAGGATCTTTGGGAAATCGTTGGCGGGTGTGAAACTACGCTGCCAGGGGAGGATTCTAATGGCGCCTTGCGCAAATGGAGAATCGAAGCAGGCAAAACAATGTTTGCCCTAAAGACCACAATTGAAGAAGGGATGTTAGAACATATTTGGGATGACAAGACACCAAAAGAAGCATGGGACACATTCGTGATGTTGTTCTCATAGAAGAACAATACAAGGCTACAACTTCTGGAGAATGAGTTGTTGTCAATTTCACAGCGTGACATGACGATTGCTTAATACTTTCACAAGGTCAAGTCGATCTGTCGGGAGATTACTGAACTAGACCCAAAGTCCGCCATTGTAGAATCTCGAATGAAGAGGATTATAATCCACAGATTGAGACCGAAATATCGAAGTTTCATTACTGCTGTACAAGGATGGCCCACTCAACCATCACTCGTAGAGCCAAGAAGCCATGGCTAAACAAATGGGAGGCATCACATTGAAGGGTGAAGAAGAAGCACTCTACACAAGTGAAAGTCGTAGCAATAATAGGTCGTCTACCAAACGTGGATACAATGGTAACAAAAGAAGAAGCCACCAAGGAATTGTACAACCTGAGAGAGCTCAGAAGAACGACAACAAGAGTTTCCAAGGAAAGAGATCTTAAGGTAAGCTATAATTGCGGGAAAAAAGGCCACATGTCTAGAGATTGTTGGTCTAGGAAAAAGTCGGTTGAAAGCAATGTGGCAATATCCAAAAAGAAGATAGAGGATGAATGGGATGCAGAGGTACTATGTCCAATAGTAGAAGTGAGCTAGCACTCATGACAATGATGGAAGAGCATATTGATTACGAGGATGATTGGATAATTGATTCAGGATGCTTAAACCAAATGATTGACGATCAAAGCGGTGCAATGGAAGAGGGGTGGCCCTCAGAGAAGGAAGTATTACCAGGCCTTGAGCAAACTGAAGAAATTCTACAGAACACAGGGGAGCAAACTGAAGAGATTCTTCCACAAAAGACGGGGGAGCAAATTGTACACATTTGCTTAAGTATTGATGTGCCTGAAGATTCAAGTGACACTAGTGTTGATGAGCAAGAAGTGACTCAACCAAGTGAGCCTAGTGAAAATGAAATGACACCTCAGCAACTCAGACATTCAAAAAGAATCCTAAAGGAAAATCCAGAGTATGCCAATGCAGTAGAAGATGAAGTTAATGAGCCGGAGACATATGAAGAAGCATCACAAAACTCAGCTTGGCAGAAAGCGATGGAGGAAGAAATTATAGCCCTTGAGCAAAATCAAACTTGGGAACTAGTACCAAGACCAGAATATATCAGATCTATCTTTGGCAAGTGGATTTACAAAATAGAGTGTACACCAGATGGATCAATTGTGAGATACAAAGCTCAAACTATAGATTCAGGGTGCTCTCAAGAAGATGGACTACACTATGAGGAAACGTTTAGTTCAGTGGCGAAGATCACTATCGTACAAGTTTCTCCAGCACTTGTGGCAAATAAAGATTGGAAATTTTGGCAGGTGGATATAAAGAATGTATTTTTGCATGGAGAGTTGGACCAGGAGATCTACATGAACCAACGAAATGCATTTGAAAATGAAGTTGGAGTCATTAGTCAGTATATGCGAAGTCCGAAGAAGTCTCATCTTGATGCTGCTCAACGGACCTTGAGATATGTCAAAGGTACAATCAATTACGATCCTTTGTATAAAAGAAGCAAAGACTGGAAGCTAGCTGGATATAGTGATGTTGACTATGCAGGAGACCACGATCCCCGAAGATCAATCACTGGGTATGTGTTCAAGCTCGGTTCGAGAACAATTTCTTGGTGTAACAAAAGACAACCAATAGTATCATTGTCAACTAGAGAAGCAGAGTACAGAGCAGCAGCTGGAGTAGCTTAGGAAAATACATGGTTAAAACTTGTGATGGAAGATGGGCACCAAAAAATTGAGTATCCAATACCACTTAATTGCAACAATCAATCTGCGATTC